TGTTTCATTTTGCAAAGATGTAGGGAGATGTAGGCACTGCTGGTAGCTTAGGCTTTTACTAACCAGATTAGGGGTGGGAAGAGGACTGTGATTCTCTCCCTCATTCATGCTCACATCCACGGCCTGAACAGCTGCCCCTCCCTGGTAATCAGCACTGTGAATAAACCCAGTTCCACACGGGGGCCAGGGTCCTGCCCAAGGTTCAAGCATTATCCATCTGGGTTAGCTTGGAGCAGCGGGCCTCCATCATGAGCATGCCGCCATGCAACATCCATCTCTGGTGGGGAAGACTGGCGGGTGGCAGGGCTCCCCTGCTCACACACACTGAGCAACTCTCAAGTCATTTTCCAGATCCACTAGGTTGGCACCCCCATTATCACCCAGTTAACCCACATGGGCACAATACTTGGAAGGAGATTATAAGTACTGCTTTGCTTCTCTTCTTCCCAGCTTGCTCTCACCTGTGCCTTAGTGCCCTTGTTGTTGATTTTCCCAGAGGTTTGGATTCACATCCATGGGAAGGATGGTATTAATAGTTCCCATTTATTATGTGTGCTAAACATTGTGCCAGATGCTAAATCCCATTTAATTCTTGGACCAACCCTTTGAGAGATGGGATTGGTTTTTATTCCCATTTCACAGCTGAGGAAACCAAGACACAGAGAGGCTAAGTGAGTGGTAGAGCCAGGATTTGAACCCAGCTGTCTTGTAGAGCACACCTCCTGGCCACTAAGCTGTGCTTCCTTCTGTTCTCGGGGTCATCCAGTTCAGAACCTGGGGTGTGGATCCAAGGACACAGGGCCTCTGCTCTTCCTCCAGAATTCTCTCACTAACCCAGCCCTTGGATTGGTTTTGATTCCTTTCCAGAATCTAAAACCTTTCATTTCTTTCTGCCTTCTTTCTTGGATTATTTCTTTAATCCTTTCCCAAGAGCCTTTCATCCTCTCAAATAAACAAAATGTTTAAAGGTTTTTAAGCCCTTTCACCCTGTTCCCAAGCAGGAAGATCAGCTTGCATTTATAATTTTATATAGTTCTGTGCTTTTGACCTAACATATGGGTCTTTAAACGTTTACCAATTTTCCAGATAATTTCTGAGCTTTTCTGTCTCTCTGATAACACTCCATTGTACTTCAGCTTTTCCTACAAAAGTATCATTTCAGTATAACTCCACAGATTCAAAATGGAAAAGGTCGAAGTGTTCTATATAGTTTTATCTCGAGGAGCAAACTCCAAAAGAAAAAGTTTAGTCTTTCAGCACCTGCATTTTCAGAGATCATTTAAAAATAATATTCCAGGGCGCCTGGGTGGCTCAGTGGGTTGAGCCGCTGCCTTCGGCTCGGGTCGTGGTCTCGGGGTCCTGGGATCGAGTCCCGCATCGGGCTCTCTGCTCAGCGGGGAGCCTGCTTCTTCCTCTCTCTCTGCCTGCCTCTCTGCCTACTTGTGATCTCTCTGTGTCAAATAAATAAATAAAATCTTTAAAAAAATAATAATAATAATAATATTCCAACACAAAAACTTGCTCAAATCAAGGCACCTGTCACTACAAGTGTAAAATCTCTTGGCAGGTCTAACTCATTCCACTTAAATAATTTCAGGCACAAATCTCATTTGGCTAGCTATCACTGTTCCCAATCAGCAGTTAGCAACAGCAAGCCTGAAGACTTGTTAGTAGACAGCTACAGTGTTATTTATTAAATTTGTGTCTAAATGCATTTTGACTTTTATTCTTTGGCTAATGAAAGTTCACAGTCGTTCACTGGATACCTTTAGTAAGCAGACTTTTTTCTCGGAGCTCACAGCATGCAATTTTAATGCTAAGCTTAACTGTCACTGACCCTTGACTCCCTTCTAAGTACATATTACTCCTAATCTCATAATATATCTTCAGGCATAGTTGTTCCGAGCCAGCATTTCTTTCTGCCTTTCGTCCAGACTGCTCATTTACCATCATTATTGCCGCTCTGCTTACATTCCCCTCACTTCCCCAGACCTTCTGCCAGCTTATTGGATCCTTCAGGGGCTGATGTGATTTTCCTCACTCACATTACCATGTAGGCTGGCTCCCCTTGACCCTGCCCAGCACTGTTGCTCCTCGGCTTTGAACGCCTCTGGAAATGCCACCTATTCCAGAGTCCTGCCCTTCCTGACTTTCTCCCACCTCCTCCTCTTCCTCGTGGACTCAGCTTCACAAGCGCCCTTCCCCCAGATCTGGAGCTCTTTGGAAACAAGTTTTTTTCTTGCTAGTCCCTAGGAGCAGGGTCCAGTAGATGGGTTGAATTTATTTTGTGGGATTTGACTTATGTGTGTTGAATGCTGCTGAAATGGGAGAACTATGTAGGCACGTACCTTTACACGGAATCCCCGTATTGCAACACGCGGGAAGAGAAAAAGTGATTTTACCACAAACATCAGGGAAGTCAAGAATAGGGATGTAACATATACACAGAATGGGAAATACTAATAATTAGGTTTTTCATGAAAGATAAATGTCTTTTTTTGGCTGACGTAATATTTACATAAAGTACATGGATCTTGAGTATTTAATTCAATGAGTTTCGACAACTCTATACCTCCACATAACCCCCACGCAACACAAGATGTAGAGCGTCTCCATCACACTCACAATTCCCTGTGTCTCTCCCCAGTCAGTAATCCTCCCTCAGTAATCACTCCTTTGACTTCTCTTATGATAGATTAGTTTTGCCTAACCTTTTTTTTAACTTTTTTTTATCATGATGAAATGCACATAACATAGAATTTACAAACAATTTTTAAGTATATGGTAGAGTGGTATCAAATCCGTTCACATTCTTGTATAATTGTCACTACCATCCATCACCATGACTCTTTTCATCTCGTAGAACTGAAAATTGTACCCATTAAGCAGTAAATGCCCCTCTTCTCGCCGCCCCCCCAGTCCCTGCAACCACTGTTAAACTATGTCTCTATGATTTTGACTACTCAAAAGTACCTCATACAAGTGGAATCATGCAGCATTTGCCTTTTTGTGACTGGTTTCTCTCACTTAGCCTAATGCTTTCACTGTCCAACCATGTTGTAGCATGTTGTAGAGTTCCCTTTTTAAGGCTAAATAATATTTCATTGAATTATATGCCACATTTTGTTTATCCATTCATCCTCGGTGGACCCTTGGGTTGCTCTCACGTTTTAGCTATTGTGTTACGAACATGGGCATGTAAATATTGTTTTGCCTATTCTTGGATATATAATATTCTTTTGTTTCTGGCTTCAACACACTGTTTTAGAGATTCATCTATATTGTTGCTCATATCAGTAGTGCAGTTTTTTGTATTGTTGAGTAGTAGTCTATATGAATATTTCCACAAATTATTTATCCCTTTTCTTACTGAGGGACACTAGGAATGGTCTCAGTCTTTTACTCTTGCGAATATGAACTCAATGAGAATTCTTATACAGGTTTCTTTTCATAACCCTATGTTTTCACTTCTTTTGGGCATATACTTAGGAGAATTGTTAAGTCATATATATATATGTTTTAATTTATAAGAAACTGACAAATAGTTTTCTGAAACTATTGTATCACTTCACACTCCCATCAGCAATGTGTGAGAATTTTAATCACTCACATCTTTACCAACATTTGGTATTGTCATGTTTGATTTTAGTCATTTTAATAGATGTAAAATACTGTTTTCATTTTCTTGATGACAACTGATACTGAGAACTTTTTAAGTGCTTTTTTGTGTTTTATTGGCCATTTGTATATATATTTTTATAAAGCATCTATTCAAATATTTTATACATTTTGGTTATCATTTTGTTAAAATCAATAGTTAATGGTAGGACTTCGTTATATATTATCAATGAGGAATCCTTTCTCACATATATGTATTATAAATATTTTTCTTCGGGGCATGGCTTGCCTGTTCATTTTCTTAGTGATATCTTTTGATGAGCAGAGATGTTTAATTTTAATAAAGTTTATCAATTTTTTTCATTTATGATTAGAACTCTTGGTGTCTTAAGAAATCCTTCCCTGTGCCAAGCTTACAAAGACAGTCTCATATTTTCCTTCAGAGGCTTTTAAGTTTAGGGGTCTGTGATCCAACACAAATTTATCTTTGTGTATGGAACAGAGTAGAGGTTGAGGTTCATTTTTTTTTTTTTCATATGGCTATCCAGTTGTGTCAGCACCATTGTTTAAGAAACTTTCTTTTCCCCAATGAATTGGCACCTTGGTCAAAAATCAATGGACTGTGTATTTATGGGTCTATTTCTTTCTTCTCTATCATTGATCTGTTTCTTCACAATTACGCCTGTGTTGTACTATGTTGATTGTGGTAGTTTTATAGTGGCCTTGAAGTCAGGTAATATAAATCTCCCTTTCAAAATGATTTTGACTCTTCTAGATTCTTTGAATTTTCCATTTACGTTTTAAAATCAGCTGGTCAGTTTCTTCAATAGCGGCCAAGCCTCCCAGGATTTTTTTTTTTAATTTTTTATTTTTTATAAACATATATTTTTCTCCCCAGGGGTACAGGTCTGTGAATCGCCAGGTTTACACACTTCACAGCACTCACCATAGCACACACCCTCCCCAATGTCCATCACCCCACCCCCCCTCCCAACCCCCTTCCCCCAGCAACCCTCAGTTTGTTTTGTGAGATTAAGAGTCACTTATGGTTTGTCTCCCTCCCATTCCCATCTTGTGATTGCATTGGATCTGTAGCTCTGTTGGGGGCAGTTTCCAGTTCTGGTAGTGGTTGATTAAGTTTTTATCTGATCAGCCCACTGGATAAAATACAAAATACAACTACCTGAAGGCAGTAAAAGGTAAACAAAAGCTGGCACACACTGGAGTAGCCAGTGTTCAGAAGAAGGAGATGAACATTTAGAGGAAAGGAACTGCAAGAAGTGAGCTTTGACTTTTATTTATTGCCTTTTAACCTGAAGTCAGGTCACAGTTTGCTATTAGAACTTCGGTAGAAATCCCCAGTAACTGGCTTGACAAACCAGAGGATGGAGTTCAGGACAGCCATGCCTCTTGGTGAGTAAGCGGAGAACCCTGGCATGAGGCAAGCAGAAAGGAGGGTATATCCTGACTACACAGTTAAAGCTAAAAGAACTGCACATAGATCTGAGCCTCAGCCCACTGAGGGAAAGACAGAATTGCAGCTGGAGTTCAGTCAAGTTAACTGCCTGCTTAAAACACACACTTGGTCTTTGGAGCAGTATAATACGATCCAGTATTTATAACATTCCACAGTGTCCAAGTTACAATATGAAATTATTCAGCATCTGAAAAAACAGGAAAATATGACCCATTCATAGAATAAAAGGTGGGGCCAGTCTTAAGAAGGCTCAGATGTTGGAATTAATAGTAAAGGATTTTAAAGTGGCTATTATAACTATAAATAAGGATGTAAAGGAAAATATGCTTCAGTGAATCAGAGGAAATCTCAAGACAGATTCCAGATGGAAATCGTGGAACTACAAAAAAACAGTATCTGATGTAGTATAAATATCTTAACAATATTGAGTCTTCTGATGGATTAACATAGTATACCTATATATTTATTTAGATTTTGTTGAATATTTCTCATTAATGTTCTATAAACTCAGTGTAGAGATTTATACTTTCTCTAGTATATTTATTTCTATATATTTGGTGTGTTTTTATGAGATTACAAATTGTATTGCATTCTAAAATTTAATTTTCATTCTAAAATTTAATTTTCCTATTGTGTCTTACTGGCATTTAAAAATATAATTGTATTTTGTTTATGGACCTTGATTTCTGCAACCTTATTCCCAGTGTTTTTATAAAATTCATAGGATTTTCTATGTAAATAATCACATCTATGAATAATGGCAGTTTTTTTTTTCTTGTCTTATGACACTGGCTATGTATTCCATTACTAATTTTGAATAGAAGTGGTGAGAGAAAGCACCCTTCCTTTATTCCTGTTCTTAAAGGGAAAGAGTTCAGTGTTTCACTAATAAGTATGATGTTAACCATAGATTTTTATAGATATACTTTATTATATATTATTAGATATACTTTATTAGATTGAGAACCTTTCTTTCTGTTATTGTTTACTAAGAGTTTCTGTCATGAATGGCTGTTGCATTTTGTCCAATGCATTATACCCTCTTATAATGTTTTATTATGATTTTCTTCTTTATTCTTTTTAAGTGGTGAATTACATGATTGATTTTTGAATCTTAAAACTATTCCTGTGGCAAATACCACTTGGTCATGATATATGATCTAATTTTTTATAGGAAGTAGATTTTTTATATAGAAGATAGATAAGGATTGATTGGTTTTATTTGCTAATATTTTGTTAAAGCCTCTTGTGTATATGTTCATTGGGCATATTGACCTGTAATTTTCTTGGAATGTCTTTGTCATGTTTTATGTTAACATAATATAATAAGTTGGGAATTTTTCCCCTCTCTCCTTTATTTCTGGAAGATTTTGTGAAAGAGTAGGGTTATTTCTTCTTTAAATGTTTGATAGAATTCATTGAAACCATCTGGGCTTAAGGTTTCTTTGTAAAAAAAGGTTTTTGATTACAAGTTAAATTTCTTTATATACATATTTATATCAAGAGAGCTATTTAGACTTTCTCTCATCGTGTCACTTTTAATAAGTTGTATTTCCAAGGATTTCTTCATTTTATCTGAGTTGTTGAATATTTGGCATAGAGCTATTCATAATATTATGTTGTACTTTTGATATCGATAGACTCTATGATGTTCTTCTTCATTCCTGATATTAATAATTTATGTCCTTTTTCTCTTTGTGATCAGCTTGCTTGGCACTTATCAACTTCTAAAGTCTTTTCCAATAGCCACCTTTGATTTTGTTGTTATTTTCTGCCTATTTTTTATTCCATTGTGTTAAAAAATAAACTGAAGTATATTAAGATTTGGAAGAGTTCATTGGAGCAAACATTGATTTTAATTGGGCAGTGACAAGCTGAAAATGGCTAGGAGCAATCTACCAGCAGGAACTAAGGGCAGGGCTTTTTTTTTTTTTTTTTTTTTTTAAAGTAAAGCCAGGAAATTACTTGATTGACTACAGCTTAAGCAGTTGCCTTATGTGGGAAAGCCTAGTAAGCTGTTTGTGATTGACTGTTCTTAAATATCATTTTCTCAGACTTGAGTGCCTTGACACTGGCTTAGGTTTTGGTTTGTTTATGTAGGCTGCCAAGGCTTAGAGCCGCCTCAGTCTGATGGCATCCTTGTTTAATTGCTGTATTGATTTCTGCTCTTAATATTATCCTGTTTTTTATTCTACTTACTGTTTGTTTAACTTGCTTTTTTCTAGCTTCTTAAGGTAGGAGCTTGATTGTTAATTTTATACATTTCTTTTCTAATATAGACATTTAAGACTATTTAAGTACTCTTTGATTTTGTTTGTGTTTTCATTACCATTCAGTTGGATACACTTTTAAATTTGTCTTGTGACTTCTTCCTTAATTTATAGATTATTTAGAAGTGTGTTGTTTAATTTCCAAATATTTTGGAATTTTCTAGATATATTATTACTGATTTTTAATTTAGTAAAATTCTAGTCAGACTATACTCTGGATTTTGATCCTTTGATTTTTATTGGGACTTATTTTGTGGCCCAGCATTTGGACTATCCTGGCGAATTCTCCACGTGTAGATTTCTTTGTACTTACCCTGCTCGGGATGTGCTGAGCTTCTAAGGTTTGTAAGTTAATGTCTTCCATCAGCTTTGGGAAATTCTCAGCATTTATCTCTTTAAACATTTCTTCTGCCCCATTCTCTCTCTTTGCCTTCTGGGATTCCAATTTTATATATATTACGTGTTCTCCTCTATTGCGTTCAGTCTGCTATTAAGCATTTTGAATGAATTCTTCATTTCTGATTTTGTGTTTTTTCACTTCTCAGGTTCTTGTTTGGTTCTTTTTTTAAATAAAAATTTCTGTTGAAGTTCCCCGTCTGTTTATACATGTTGCCCACCTTTTACACTAGACCCTATTACATATTTATCATGGTTATTTTGAAGCCCATGTCTGTTAAGTCCAACATTTGTGCCATCTCTCAGTGCCCGTCTATTGACTGTTTTCTCTCATGGATCACATTTTCTTGCTTCTGCATGACTTTTATAATTATTAATGGTGTGCTAGATATTTTATATAAAATCAAAGTCTTAAGTTAGTAAGTTAAAAGTATTACCTCCCACCCCCCAGAAAAGACATGCTTATCCTTTTCTCAGGCTGCTAATGTATGAAAGGAGGGCAGGACGAGAAGGGGTTGAGCTGATCTAATTGGTAACTAAGCTGGGTCTGGACTTCGTTGCAACCTTAGTGAGATTCCAGTTCACCTCTGACTTCAGATGTTTTGAGAGCAGAATGTGAGCACCAGTAAGATTCTAAAGACCCTTTTATGCTTTACAATCATGTGGTTAGTTTTCTGAACCACATGAACTGTCTGCTTTTCATCCTGGATGTCAGCTTTTCAAGTAGCTGAGTCCTCTTCCAGTCGCGCTCTCTCTTCTCCCCTGTCCCCGGACTCTGTTGCAACAGGTTTGTGGTTCACAAAGTGCTCTTCTGGGTGTGGGGGGCGGCAGGAAGAAAGGGCAAGGGTTGGTCCTCAAGACTCTTTGAGGAACACAGTAGGGTCAAAATGTTTCCCATTGTAGCTCTAAGACATTTTTTGCCTTTTTCACTAAGTTGGCATTTGCACATGGTGCAAAAACAATGGTGTTTTTATAAAACTCCTCATGCCTTAGTACAAATTAAGGCTGTGGCACCAAACTATAGTAGTAATCATGGTAAACTTTACCACGAGAGCATTTGTAGTTACAAGAGAAATGCCAGTGCTACTTAAGAAAATCCTTGTTATGCAATAATAATTATGAAATCTCAACTCTGGATCACATATCTTTTTCATGTTCTGTCTGACAAAATAGGAAGTACATAGAGAGCACTTCTGTGTCCTGTGTGATTGTCATCTCAAGGAAAAGCACTTGTGGGACTGTCTGAATTACAGTCCAGACTAGCTGCTTTTCTCATTAAACATTTTCACTTGAAAGAACAACTGGTAGATGAACTCTGGTTGCTCAGATTTAGATGTGTGGCAGGTATTTTCTCAAAAATAAACAGTGAACTGAGCACTTTCAGGAAAACAACTGACGGTATTTGTTGTCAGTGATAAAATTCTAGGTTTCACAAAAAAATTAGAATTGTGGAAAACTTGTATCCACCATTATGGATTTGATAGCTTCCTAATACTAGAAGACTTTTCTGATGTGATTGAGTAATATTAACACATGTAATTTTTTTATATTGTATAATGAAGTGTGTCAACATTTGGAAGGTCTGCATAACTCAGTGAACCATTACTCCTAAAGGCTCATGCATGCATTATAAAATCTTGTATAAATAGAAAGATCCATTCAAAGTGCAGGATAAACCAACAGAGTATGAAAAGTTCATTGATTTGGTTTCAGATTCTATATTACCACTAACTTTTAGACTATTCCTTATTGAGTTTTGGTGAAGGTCAAAGAATAATATACACGTTTCACTGAAAGGGACTTGGGTCGGTCTCCTGCCCCATCTCCAGCCTTCGGTCTCCCCATGCACTTGGTGAAAGAATTAGTGGGTGGCCACAGACTCACTCTGTAGCTGGGCTGCAAGGAGTCTAATATATCATACCATCCCCCAAGCAGGTTGAGCTTGTCAAAAGTTAGGCAGTGGTGCCTTAACCCTTATCTGTGGCAGATACCTCCTCCTTCGAGGGGTTCATTCTGGCTGAAAGCTTGAGGCTTGTCATATCCTGGAATTTCATCCGTTAAGGTTTCTGCACATCCTCAGCATTTTGTTGGGTTTGAAGTAAGAATGTTTTAGTGGCTTATTCAGCTTGTTCTTTGTGTTAAGGTAGGAATGACAGTCTCTTAAAACTTTCTAGAGCTTGTTCAGAAGCAGAAGTCACAGATGCTTTCGAGTATTTTTTGGGCTTTGCCTCTGATTTAACTACAGGAGAGATAACATCCAGAATGGAGAATGAGGGAGCGACATAAAAACCAAGAGGGTTCTAGTTCATT